AAAAAAAAAAAAAAAAAATATCAGATCAAGAAAACTGAGGATGGCTCAGTGCCTGTAGCTCAGCGGCTAGGGTGCCAGCCACATACACCAGAGCTGGCGGGTTCGTATCCAGCCCAGGCCTGCCAAACAGCAATGACAACTACAACCAAAAAATAGCTGGGAGCTATGGCAGGTGCCTGTAGTCCCAGCTACTCGGGAGGCTGATGCAAGAGAATCACTTAAGCCCATGAGTTTGAAGTTGCTGTGAGCTGTGATGCTACAGAACTCTACTGAGGGCAACAAAGTGAGACTCCATTTTATAAAAAAAAAAAAAAAAGGAAAAAGAAAGAAAACTGAGGACAATACTAGTCAGACATAGCACGGCAAAATCACTGGGAAAAGGGCAGACTATTCCAGAAATGGTGACAGAATAATCATTTTCCAGGGAGGAAAAAGCATTAAATCCCTACCTCAGACTATTAAACAAACAGATTAAAGACCTAAGAGTAAAAAGCAAACCACAAAACTTTTAGTAGAAAAAATAGTAGAATATTTTTCTAGTAGAGAAAGAAGGATTTTTCATGTAAGATAATAAAAAGCACAGAGGAAAAGATTACAAATTTGACATTAAAATTAAAAACCATATTATATCTTGTGTACAATGAAAAGTCAAACCATAAAAAGTTACTTGCATATGTATAACCATGGAAGAATTAGTATGATATATTAAAAATAATATGTCTCCAACTCTGTCACTAAAAACAAGTGAAAAAACAAGGAGCAATAATATAGCAGAAATTCTAATGGCCAACGCACTTCACTGTTTATTAATTTCACTACTCCAAGAAATAAGATATGATTTCACACTTACACTTTCAAAAATTTCAAAACAACCTAGTAATACAACCTAGTAAGAGCAGGAAGTGAGAGAAACTATGATACACATCGTAGAAGTTAAATTGGTACACTTTGAAGAAAAATTTGACAATGACCCAGGGAAGCTGAAGATAAATACACTTAATGGCTGACCTATTTTTTTTTTTTGGAGTTTTTGGCCAGGGCTGGTTTTGAACCCTCCACCTCCAGTGTATGGGGCTGGCACTCTACTCCTTTGAGCCATAGGCACTGCCCTGGCTGACCTATTTTAAATCACATACTATAATACCTTAAAGAAACTTCTATAAATGTGAACAAGACAACATGAATGGGAACCAGAAGAACACCATCATGGCACAATTTCATAAATGCCCATCACCTAGAGACAGGATAGACTGCAGCGTATTTATGGGATGAAATGTTACATAAAAGCAAATTAGAGATAAGTAGCATGGAAGAATTTCAAAAACATGGCTATTGGGCGCTGCCTGTGGCTCAGTGAATAGGGCGCTGGCCCCATATACCGAGGGTAGCAGGTTCAAATCTGGCCCCAGCCAAACTCCAACAATAATGAAAAAATAGCCAGACGTTGTGGCGGGCGTCTGCAGTCCCAGCTACCGGGAGGCTGAGGCAAGAGTATTGCCTACAACCGAGAGCTGGAGGTTGCTGTGAGCTGTGATGCCACAGCACTCTACCAAGGGCAATAAAGTGAGACTCTGTCTCTAAAAAACAAAAAAAAAAACAAATATGGCTGTTAAGCAAATTGTGTCAATAAATAGAGTATGATACCATTTATACCAACTTTTAAACACTAAGAATGCTCTATACAGGGTAGCCATAAAGTTCATGAGCAATTTTAAAGTGCACACTCTTTTTTTTTTGAGACGGAGCCTCAAGCTGTCCCCCTGGGTAAAGTGCGGTGGCATCACAGCTCACAGCAACCTCCAACTCCTGGGCTCAAGCAAGTCTCCTGCCTCCGCCTCCCAAGTAGCTGGGACCACAGGCGCTGGCCACAACGCCCGGCTATTTTTTGGTTGCAGCCGTCATTGTTGTTTGGCAGGCCCAGGCTTCGAACCCGCCACCTTAGGTGTACGTGGCTGGCGCCTTAGCCCCTTGAGCCACAGGTGCTGAGCCAGTGCACACTCTTTTAAATTGCACACGAACTTTACAGCTACCTTCTATATGCTTCTGCAACTTTATTAAAGTTACCTAAAATGTGTCTCAATTTGCCTACATGTGTTAAAAAGAAAATGTTATGTCTTTACACCAGACTTGCTGACAATAAATTAGATAAAACAGATAAAATGCCTGGTGCTTAACAAGCATTTAAAAAGTCTGTTCTTCTGCTATCTCCTCTGAACCATTCTCCAAAAAATAAAAAGGGTCGCCGTCAAACTTTGGAAACTAAGATTTGAAGAGTTGAAGTGACATTAAGACCTATAAAAAATAAAAAAGTTTTATTTTGTTTATGTCAGAAGTAATTTTTCTGACCCTTAGCTATCCAAGAAAATAATAAACACATAAACTTACCTGTAGCATTTGGTCAAAATCTTGTTTCTCCAAATATGATCTCGTAACAACTCGTCCATCGAAATCTACTTCTGCCTTAAATCTGACTTTACCTAATCCCAGATCTGTGGCTTTAACATCATGAACTGCCCTGTATGTAGTCAACAACAATGCATATCAATTATACACACACACACACACACACACGTACACTTCAAAGGCACAAAGTCTAGAATTCTCTTTTCCCACCAATGATGAAGATGGACAAAGACGGTGTCACAGTCTTCATCAAGTATCACCCACCATTTTCTAATGCTCGCTGTCCAGGGAGATGTTTTTTGCAAAATGCCACACATACGGGCAAACTTAACAAACACTATAATATGGTAATGGTAATTTGTATATATGTGTATTAACTCAAAATCACTTTTCTTCTTTTTTTCACTTTTCTAAAATGTCCTGCTATCTCATAAACCCTCCCCCCCATATGTCCACTTACCAATTTCCTAAGTACCATTTACAAAAAATTTTTTTCTGGATAATAGTGTTTTAGAGTATATGAATCACTTTTATATTCACTAGGCTCTGTAAGAAGTCTTCAAACAATGCTATGAAGGTCTCTAGTAGACTGGCATTAATAATAACCACCCCCTGGGACTGACGTGGGGCATACGGAGTGAACACATACATACCGTACTTTGCCACATATATGCAATTCTGTGTATAATGTGCACCCACACTTTTTGGCACAAAGTTTCAGGAAAAAAACCTCTGATTTTAATTTATTTCCCCAAATGAATAGGTCTTTTATTGCATTGTTAAAATTACAAGTATCTCTTAGGAATCGACAACTCATTTTAATTTTTTTGTTTTTTTTTTTGAGACAGAGTCTCACTTTGTTGCCCTTGGTAAAGTGCTATGGCATCACAGTTCACAGTAACCTCAAACTCTTGGGCTTAGGTGATTCTCTTGCCTCAGCCTCCCAAGTAGCTGGGACTACAGGCGCCCGCCACAACACCTAGCTATTTTTTGTTGTTGTTGTTGCAGTTTGGCTGGGGCTGGGTTTGAACCTGCCACCCTCAGTATATGGAGCCGGTGCCTTACCCACTAAGCACAGGTGCTGCCCCATTTTAATTTTTAATACAAATTTTTGTTTGTTTCTATTTAGGTACTTGTAAAGGAATTTTAAAAAATATCTAGATTGCTAGCTCCCATCTAATGTATACAAAGAGAAATATATTGCTTTTCACTGGTCACACATGCTTTCATTGCAAGTTTTGCCATATAAAACCAATTACTATATTCCAAGGTATTACTTTACATAGGGACATCACTACTGCTTTCTATAGTCACACTTTTAATGCATAAGCATACATAAAAGAATTTAAAACATTTATACAGCTATAGAATTAATTACCCATGTGTAATGCGCATCCATATTTTTCCCACAAAAATTTGGGCAAAAAAATATATTATATATGGCAAAACATGGTTAAAATATAGCACCAACTACAAGGCAGGCATTTAAGAATGGTTTTCATGGCCAGGCGCAGTGGCTCACGCCTGTAATCCTAATATTCTGGGAGGCTGAAGTGGGTGGACTGCTTGAGCTCATGAATTTGAGACCAGCCTGAGAAAAAGCGAGACCCTGTCTCTACTAAAAATAGAAAAACTGAGGCAAGAGGATCGCTTGAGCCCAAGAGTTGGAGTTTGTTGTGAGCTATGATGCAGCATGCTACTCAGGGTGACAGCTTGGGACTCTGTCTCAAAAACAAAAAAAGAAAAAAACCCCCAAAACAAGAGATGGAATTAATAATCAAAAAACTACCTACATAGAAAAATCTATGCCCAGATGGCTTCACTGCTAAATTCTACCAAATATTTAAAGAAGAAATAAAATAATATTGATTATTCACAAACTGTCCCAAAAAATAGAAGAGGAAGGAAAACTTCCCAACTCATTCTAAGAAATTAGTTTTACCTGGATACCAAAACCAGACCAAGACAACACAAGGAAAGGACATTAATACAGATTATCTCACATTGAGTTACTAAGTCTGATGCTGATTTTAAGAATGCTCAACTTGGCTCAGCACCTGTAGCTCAGAGGTCAGGGTGCCGGCCACATACGCTGGGGCTGGCAGGTTTGAACCCAGCCTGGGCTTGCCAAATAACGACAACTACAAAAACAACAACAAAAAATAGCCGGGCATTGTGGCAGGTGCCTATATTCTCAGATACTTGGGAGGCTGAGGCAAGAGAATCACTTAAGCCCAAGAGTTTGAGGTTGCTGTGAGCTGTGACACCATAGCACTCATGGCACTCTACAGAGGGAGACACAGTGAGACTCTGTCTAAAAAAAAAAAAAAAAAAAAAAAAGAATGCTCAACTTCTGAGTGGGGTGTAGGCAGGGATGGAGAGAAAAAAAAGTAGAATGATCAACTTCTAATATTCTTTAAGAAAACAGATCTCACTGTGTTGCCCAGGCTGAAGTACAGTGGCTATTCAGAGGCACAATCACGGTGCACTATAGCCTCAGATGCCTGACCTCCAGTGATCCTCCCATCTTAGCCTACTACCATGTAGCTGGGACTAGAGGCACATGCCACCATGCTCAGCTCTCAATTCATAATCTTGATCCAACAAGGTAATTAGTTTTCAAGATTAAACATACAGGGCATAGAATATAAATCTAGTATTCACTAGTATGTTTTACTAATTCAGATATATAGGTTTTTTTTGTGTGTGTGTGTGAGAGACAGAGTCTGAAGTTGTCGCCCTGGGTAGAGTGCTGGGGCACCACAACTCACAGCAACCTCACACTCTTGGGTTTAAGCGATTCTCTTGCCTCAGCCTCCCAAGGAGCTGGGACTACAGGTGACTGCTACTGTACAGGTGCTCTGGCTCTTTTAATTGCAGTTGTCATTGTTTAGCAGACCCGGGCTGGGTTCGAACCCACCATCCTAGGTGTATATGGCTGGAGTCCTTGCCGACTGAGCTATGGGCATCACCTACATAGGTCATTTTAAAGAGATTTAACATAAAGATGGCAAGTATAACCCAGAGGAAAAACACTTTCTTATTTTAAAGTTTGAAAAAATAAATACATATAGCTAGTGGAAAGATAGGATTTTAAAACTTTGCTCTCTCATTTTTTCATTCTGTTATAAATCTCAGTGAATTCCA